TGGCAGATTTCCATTATTGAGGGAGAACCCCTCATGCCCAAATAAGACTGAAAAGATGCAAAAGGACTGGAAGGTCCGTAGAATGCAGATGTCATAGCACACTGATATGAATATGTCCAGCCACCGTCGGCTGACAAGTGGAAAGCATGAATTCTAGCTCTAGGAGAGTGAAAGGTACATTATATGGCTCCATTCCATTAGAGGAGAAATCTGAGGGCAACTGCTCTTTGGCAGGCTTAGACGCAAGAAATGAGGGACAAAGGAGAAGCACTTGGGAGATACGGACAAGATAGTTCCCAATTTCTGTGGCAACTTCAAGTGGTTCTGCAACATTAACACCAGCAACCCGCAAAACGGAAGCTGGGTCCGGAGTGTACTTGCCACACAACTTCCGTACCTTTTTCTAAACCGCACACGTAGGGGAAGACGAGGTAATGGTAGACACATAGTCTTGCCAACAAGTGCATTTAGCGTTGCATATGACACGGCGAGCAACTGCCCTTGCTCACTTAAAATCCAAAAACCGCTCTGAGGTCCGATTATACTGATAACAGACCCATGCAGCATGTTTCAAATGCACTGCACGGGCACACGCAGGAGACCACCAAGGCACGCATGTCTGGGAATGCTTGCCTGAGGTTTGAGGAATAAAATGTGATGCCGCAGTCAAAACTAAGGTCAAAAACTGGTGCACCAGTTCATCAATAGAGGATGAAAGGGGGTCCTCGCAAAAGGTGGTAAGATGAGAGTGTAAGTCCCAATCTGCTCGTGCAAATTGCCAATGAGGGCTATGAGGCGATTGAGAATATGTAGCAGAAGTAAGAAGAATAGCAAAGTGATCACTGTCATGTAAATCTGGGAGAACAAACCAAGTGTAATCAAGTGCAATCGACGAGGAACAGATAGAAAGATCAACGCAAGAGAGACTGAGTGCGAGTGTCAAAATGGGTAGGAGAACCCGTATTTAAAACATGAAGAGGATGAGAAGTGAGAAGTCTCCAACTGATCACCACGAGAGTCACAGTGGGACCCTCCCCACAGATGATGGTGAGCAATAAAATCACCTAATAACAAGATGGGCGACAGCAGAGATCAAAAATGCAATATCCAAGATACAGAATGCATGGGAGGGGGAAAGATATAGAGAGTAAACTGTATACCATCTGTGTAAATAAATATGAGCTGCAGTATAATGCAGCAGAGAACAAACAAAAACTTTTTGATATGGTATACCAATGCAAACAAGAGTGCACTCTCGTTAAATGATTCATCAGGAAAAGGATCAGAAGAATGTAACAGCACAGCCCGAAATGGGACGAACAACAGCTGAGCAAATTTTGGGCTCTTGTAACCCAACACATATCAGGGAAGACTGGAAGAGCAACACTTGGAGTTCTCCCCGATTATCCCTGAGGCCATGAATATACCATTGTAAATAAGATATTATTTACAGATATTATTATAATCAAGGGGAGTGCTAAACTAACATTATTTACAAAAACAGGAATATCAACAATAAGAAGCAATAAAATCTATGGTCTATTAGGATCAGTAAAGTTAGCATGTGGGGGCAACAGTAAGTGTGTAAGCAAGGAGGAACCAGAATACTGTGAAGGAAAAGATTGTTGCGAGGGTCATAAAAACGAAGGGGTAGAAGGAGGCCCATCGGTGTCCATTGAGGGTTTCGTCTCCGCAATATTGCTGGAGATAGCGTCAAGTGTCTCAGCGCATAAGATGTCGATACCATGATTTCAGAGACAGGTGAGATAGAGCAAATAGGGATTGGAGTAGCTATGGAGGCAGCCAAAGAGGTTTGAGAGGGGCGGGGAGTATGAACCTGGAGAGATGTGTTGGCAGGGGCAGAAGAGTCCTGCAGTGTAACAGGAGAGGGAGGAGGTTGGAAGGTAACTAGGGAAGAAGACTGGGGATGGACAGAAGAGGGGACTACACGACAGGGGGTGAACCTTCACCTTCATGTGAGAGTTAGAAGGGGGGTGAAAACTAGGCCCCAAGGTAGGAGATAGATTCAACTTCACAGCTGGCAGACGTGAAGAAGGTGTAGGGCTTGCGAGGTCTCGTAGATTTAGAAACTAGCGAGCGAGATGCAGTAGTAGAAGCAGGAAGAGGCACCGAGGTAGGAGTTTCAGAGGATAAAACCGCAAAAGAATTAGAAACAGGGGTGACCCTGGAAGACATGGTTGTAGAGGAATTGGGAGGCGGGAGGACCGTCAAGGTTGGAGGTCTTCGAGCTACAAGAGAATAGAAGAACACGAGGGAGTTTTCCCTGAAGACGGAGCTGAGGGACAGCCATAGCATAAGGCCTTCACTCTCTTTAAGATAACGGATTTCTCGGATTTCTCGCTCATTACGATAGACTTGACAACGGGGTGAAAAAGAAGGATGAGATTCATTGTAATTGAGATAAGAGGGGGGAAGACTGAAAGATGTATTGGTATGATCTGCGGCACTGCAGACCGGACATTCCGCCACAGATCTGCAGTATTCAGCGGAGTGTCCAAGGCGCCAGCAATTACGACACTGTTGGGAAGTAGGGACTACTTTATGAACCTCTAGGCGATGGCCTACAATGTAAATGGAGGACGAGAGTTCACGGTAGCTGAAGGTTAAGCAGGCGATGTTACTGGGAAAGCGTCTCCACCCACAGGCAGGCAGGATGTATCCACTTTGAGAAAAGGAAGGTCCTGAAGGGCTAATTGCTCTAAAATATCATAGCTGCATATAGTACCAATGCAAGAACAGAGTAGCGTGCTTATGAACTGTGACTGGAATTTTATCTATGGAAGGTATATGGGAGAGAGCATGAGCTTGTTCTGGTGGCACAAGCTCTCGCTTCACATGCTGAGTTCCGGGTTCGATTCCCGGCAAGAGTGAAAACACTGGGCGTGTTTCCTAATACCCGTTGTCCACGTTCACCCATCAGTAAAATGGGTACCTGGGTGTTAGTCGACTTGTATGGGTCGCACCCTGGGACAAAATTGACTTAATTTGCCCGAAATGCTCTTCATAACAAGTGGCTTTCTATATAGTAGTATGTCATTGATTCTGTCATTACTGAAGGCTTTTAACTCTTATAATGACTCCAACAACAAGCTCCTTGGAGAAGCCAGGTATAGATATTCAAAAATCAGGGACAAAGGAATTAATGTACAATTGCTATGGATCCCATCACACATTGGATTACTCCTTCATGATAAAGTTGATATGTTAGCCAAGAAGAGTACCCAGGAGAATGTAGAATGTAACTTTGGTATATCTGTGTCTAGCATTAGGAATAATATTAGGAGAGAAGTAAATAATGAAGATGATTGTTATAGGAATGCAATTAGAAGCCTGAGTAGATCTATAACTCACTAAGATAACATGAACGTAGATAAGTATGTTTATGGAGCAACTTGCAATGTGAACACTGATGTTGTAGTGGCCAGGCTTAGGGAGCAGTCAGGTGTAACATATCGACTTCTTTATTTTTCAACCGATTACGTTCATTTTTGGTGTACTATTAGAAGCTTATATAAAACCTCCTGTGCTGAAGTTTCAATCATATCGGCCAAAAAGTAAATGAAATATGCAAAATTTACGAAAAATTGCATTTGGCAGCGGAGTCCTACTCAGTGGTACTTGGAAAAGTGGTTTTGACACTTGCTGCTGATAGAACACCTCTAATTCCATCATGAATTACGTACCTTTTCTAAAATAAACCTTATCTTCATGCTAAAAAAAAATAAGTTTCATAACTTTTTTGTCATATTGGAAGATGTCGGTCTTGTTGCCCACATAAATCTAAAAATATTTGGGATAGTTCAGAAAGGTACGTATTTTCTTGTAAATCAATCATTCTCCTATGTTTGTTGTGAAAATCAAGTCAATTCATTCATAAATAAGGATGCAGTCCCCCTAAATAGGTAAATAAGTTACTTTCGAGATATAGGCGGAAGCGCGCGGCACCCCAGGTGCCCGGGAAATATTTTTTTCCCCGAAAAATTCGCCTTATTTTACACTTTTTCCGCGACCTACGAGTGTTTATTACAGTTAACCATTGTAAATCCGTTTTCTCTCATCACTGATGAGAGAGGGCGGACCCTCTCTTCACCTTCAGGGGAAATATCGATAGAAATTTTTTCCTTGGGGCGTCATATTATGCTATATATTTTTTTTAAGGTGTACTTTTTATGTTTATATGCTATTATTATATTGCATTATGTCATAATAGATCAATTGTGAAAGATAAATAAGCCTTATAATTGATATTAGCGTGGGTATGGAATATTTTGTTGGCTGGAGGTGTCGGCCATTTTATGCAATATACCCAGGGTACCTTGATTGGTTACTTGATCATATTAGCTCCGCCCACTCTGGCATGATCTCAGATGGTGAATTTGTATTATATTAGACAAAGATATAAGAAAACGATAAAAATAACACGGGGAAAAACGTAACAAAAACGTCAACAAAGCCGAGTCAGCGCTTCTTGCGCACTATGACGCGTCAGCGCTGTCACCATGCCTGTTATAAATGGCTGTAATTCCTTTTAGAAACATCGTACAAGGATAATAATTATACCAGAGTGTAGCCAGAAAGTTCAGCTATTTTTTGGTAACAATAACTCCATTTTCATATTTTTTCGATTTTTTTTTTGCACCGCGCGCGTGAACCTGACTGCTCCCTTAGGCTTGGTTACAAGTACTTCTGACAGTTTGGGAGACACAGAGATGATACAAACTAAATGTAAATTATGTGATCAGGCATATGGTGACTGTCTTGAACACTATGTCCACTTATTGAGGAATACAGAGATAGACAGTATAATAACCTATGTGACATGTCAAGGTATCTTATTAATGAAAATAAGATTTATTTATTTATTTATTTATTTAAAAATTTGAGCACACATAGAGGTACACATAGAGATACCAGATACACTAAGCAAATTTCCTAAATTTGCTTGTAACAGATAAGTGAAGTACAGATATGTAGATATAAACCCATATGTATTCCTGTTAACCCTTTGGGGCCTAGTTCCTGGGCCTTTTGTGTATCTATATGCTTTTGCGCTACAGTCCACAGGATGGATATGGGGTGCGCAATACGCTAGCCCACTTCGGTGGAAAAATCTAAAGTATGTCATTGATGTCAGCTAGGCCTGTATACCTTGTATATGTACGTGTAGAAATAGATATATTATTATTTTAGCAGCCAGCTAGAGTAAGTGTAGTCAGCGCCAGTTTAGCAGCCAGCTAATGAGTGTTCGCGCTATAAATAGCACACACAGCCAGGTCCAGGGTGGACGCGTCTGGCTCACGACCACGTCCACCGACAGTTTCGTCCACATCAAACCAACGTATCAGCAGTGCTGTTTCACCTTGTGTTGAGTCAAGTGTATCTTATCGTAGTTACTACTACACCAGCGGTGAGTCATCTTTACCTAAAAATATTAAGTTATAATTATGACCCTTTTGTGTTATCTTATTTATAATTATGACCCTTTTGTGTTATCTAAGTTACGATTGACCTTTTCTGTGTTTAGTTACACAAGTTATTATGTACGACAATTGTGACCATCTAAAAACTGTGTAAAGTGTAGCTAAAAATTATTGCACTTGTTTTTTTTTTTAGTCATGATTTTGCACAATTGTACCACAAGGGCCCCAATGAAAGTCACATTGACCTTTTCTGGGTTATCCTGGGTAATTTACACTATGTATAATAATTGTACTTATGTGTACCTGTTCCAACATTAACTTACATAATTGTATCTAACTCTGCCTATTGTAACTTGGATATATTTAAAAGTAATAAAGATTTTTTAATTACCTCTCATGATAGGGTTAATAAACCAGCTGGAGGCCTTTGTAAAGTGTGCTTAATAACCTTAAGATTAATTGTATGTAAGATTACTGGCGAGTAGGATTACTGGTAAGATTACTATTGAATATGATTACTCGTAAGACTATTGGCGAGTAAGATTACTGGTAAGATTACTGGTGAATAAGATTATTGTTAAGATTACTGGTGAATAAGATTATTGTTAAGATTACTGGTAAGATTACTGGTGAATAAGATTGTTGTTAAGATTACTGGTGAATAAGATTATTGTTAAGATTACTGGTGAATAAGATTATTGTTAAGATTACTGGTAAGATTACTGGTGAATAAGATTATTGTTAAGATTACTGGTAAGATTATTGGTGAATAAGATTATTGTTAAGATTACTGGTAAGATTACTGGTGAATAAGATTATTGTTAAGATTACTGGTAAGATTACTGGTGAGTTACTAGTAAGATTACTGGCGAGTAGGATTACTGGTAAACTGCATGACTAGCGAGTAGGATTACTGGTAAGATTACTATTGAATATGATTACTCGTAACTATTGGCGAGTAAGATTACTGGTGAGTAAGATTATTAAGATTACTGGTGAGTTACAAGTAAGATTACTGGTGAGTAAGAGTTACACTCATTGTCACAGGTGTCTCAGGTCTGGTACAGGTACAGTCCGTGTTGTTATGGGGGTAATGAGGCAGAGCAACTTAGCTACATGTACTCTCGCCCTGCCTGGGTAACCACAACAAAACGATAGCAACATGGATTAGGGCTTCCATGGTTAGGTTACTTCTTTCTTTTTGTTTTTAAGAAAAAAAAAAGAAAAAGGGGGAACGGGGAGGAATAGTTCCTAGGAGGAATGAAAGGGCCAGAAATCACCCTCCGCACCCAAGAGGACCTCAACACCGCAAGTAGTGCAGATGCTGCATGGAACCTGTGCTATACCCTACCCTTCATGCCAGTAAACCAGCAATCCAGGATAACAACCTCACATCTGCCGAGCTACCTTGGTGGACAAAAGAGAGGGCGGCCGGATATCCGTCACAAAGCATACCCCCTTTGGCCACCACCCCGGAATCCAAAAGGCAGCCTCCAGAGATACACCCATCGCCCGAAAGACACCCAAAGCCACCCCCCGGAAGACTGGAGAGGGAACTGGATATCCCCAGGCGATCCAGATTCCACGGCAAACTACACCACAGCCAAGAACCTCAACAGAATAGGATTGACCCCGGTACCCTTCCCCCTACCTAGGAACCAGTAGGCCTGTGGGAAGAATCCCAAAGGCCAAAAAGAGGAAGGGAAAAAGGGAGGGACAGGGGGGAGGAGGAGGAAAGGAAAAAGGGAGGATGGGATAGGGAAGGGGGGATTGGAGGGTAATTAGGTTCGGTCTGAGGAAGGAGACCAACAGGTCTAATTCCTCAGACCAAGAGTCTCTTCACCACGCCAAGGAGCCCCTCTTGAAGAGGGGGTTATTATCAAGGTTTTTGATATTTTCTCGACCACTTGTGGCCACATCCACCTCAAAGCCACTAAACCAGGGGTCAACATCACTTTCCTCTTAAAATGGAAGTGCTACTACTACATAACATCAGTGAATTCCAGGTGTTTGCCATGTTGTTTGCTCTAGCTGGTGCTCAATTGAACTGGTGCTCCCAAAAGGTACTAAGTGGTCTCAGATTTTTTAATACTTTGCACACCGAGTGTTATGACCCATTCTATGCTGACCAGGCATCTCAGGTCAATCGTGCCAAATTTGGAGGCACAAAAAATAAAACATAGATCTACGTTTGGAGCGCTAGTGGTAAGAACGTAGATATACGTTTGGACAGTTAACAGGTTAAAATGTACTGCTCCATAACCTGTGTCAATATAGAGTAGGAAATTGGATTAGTTTGCCCAAAATGCCTAGGCATACTAGTGGCCTTTGCAATTAATGTTTTAAAATATGTAAACCACAGGTAAGTTTAGCAAGAAAATAAACATTTTCATTTTCATGTACTTTTTTTGGATTGTGCAGCAATTGAAACGAGTCTAGTTGTATGTCTTTTACCCACAGGTGACAAGAGGTACATAAACAATGTGTGATAACGGCAGTGACGGAGGTGTCAGTCGAGGTGTCAGTCGAGGCCGAGGTCGAGGCCGAGGTCGAGGCCGAGGACAAGGTCGTGGTCGAGGCCGAGGAAGAGGCATGTGTAACACTCGACAAAATATGGATGATAATATTGAACAGATAAACATGACTCTTAAGTCGACTGATGTTTGTGGGGATGTGGAAATCCCAGAAATATGCATGTTAGCAATAAATAACAAGTGTATTAACAATAACAAAGGCTGCCAGTATCTCCATGCAAAAAGCACTTTTCACTGGCAATTTCAAGTAGGCATTAAATGGTTTAATTTCCTCATCTTTCAGTCTAAAGTATTAGAAACTGCTTACCGGAATGTTGCCAAGGATAAATGTCAAATACTACCTCCCATTGATTTAAACAAATCTGCATCCTGTGCTAAAGCAATTTTGAACTTTTTTGGTACTGAGTCATGGACAGCTAATTTTATGAGAATGTATATTAAACACTCAACTGGAAGCAAACTCCAAATTCGACGGATCTCAACTAAGTCTGCAGGAGAGTCAGATAATCCCAAAGCAACTACATATGACTGGTACTTTCTTGATGCACAAGGCATATGGATTTGTTATGGTCATGCTGATAGTCTGGGAAATGAAAAACTAGTGTGTAGCACCACGTGTGAGGATATTGAGAAACGATATTTGTCAGACCCCAGGTCATCAATGACTGTAAGTAATAAAAGATTCACCTATATATTAAACTTTGCACAGATGACACAGACTAACCTAACAACAAACAAGGTGAGGCAGATTCGCCGCCGCCCGTCTAAAGCACCCATTCAGAAAAAGGTCATTCTTGACAAACCTAAAAATTGTCTACCTACTCACTGGAGTCCAATGACAGACAAGCAGATCTGTCTCCTTGTGCAGCTAGATTGTGACAGCTCTGAATATCAAAATGTTAAAAGCCTTTTAAAGCTTACACTTCATGGGGTCATCATCCGGAATATTCAGCGACTACAAAATCCATATTTGTGGCACCAGTTGGAAAATAAAAAGGCATACTTGTCTAAAAGGTAAGTCCCTTATGATCACCTGGTTTTTGATACTCAAGTATCCCTTCAAGGGAACAGCTATGTGCTGTGATGCCAGTGAACTGCTCCTGATACCAGGAATTGGAACTGCTATCCGCTTCCTCAGATCAAACCAATTACTTCCCATTCCTCAGGCTCTGTAAGACCCTTACAGATTTACTGATTTCTTTATGAATATTGACTAATTCATATAATAATAATATAATGATGTTCAGTACAACACCCCATTTCCACAGATTCAGTATCCAGTTACAGTTATCCAGTTTACTGGGGCCCAAAATTAACCCTTAATGTTGTTTAATAATGGCCCCAGAATGCAATAGTGGTGCCTATGAGCAGCCCAGAAATGCTCTCCATCAGTAAAAAAGTGCTAATTCTAGACTTCTTTTGCATAATTTATCAATTAAACTATTATAGGTATGTCTGTAAACAAATAATAACTTGAGTTTTTGAAAAAAAAAAAAAAATACAGAATTAAAGACTTTATTTTTCTAAAGGTAACAAAACAAAAACATTCTGATCAGTACTTACTGAGATATAGAGGCGTGAAGTTGACCCTCAATGTCTGGGTGGCGGCAACGTCCGCGGCTTCCGTAAAGTCACATTTTTTTTATTTTACTTTTTTCTTTTCTCTTTTCTTTTCTAAAAATTTGTTCAGTAACATTTGTGGCCTGTGAGACCAATATAGTATATAATGTATATATATACACTCATTGTAATGAATAAGGAGAGCAGTTGTAGAGCCAGAAATGAATATGCACAGATAAGAAGGGAGGCCCAACGACAATATGAAAACAACATAGCGAGTAGAGTTGACCAACGTTGTTGCCAATGGGTGTGAAGGTGGGTAGCTATTACAGCAAAATAGTCCGGAAATGGAACACCTCTATATGAAATTGGTAGGTCATGTACTGCTGACCGCGCAGCAATATCTGCCTTGGGGTGAGTATAACACTGAGCATGTCTCCGGAAGCACACATCAACCAGATAACTGCTGCAGCATATGGGCGCCTGGCAAACCTGCGAATAGCGTTCCGATATCTTAGTAAGGAATTGTTCAAGACACTGTACACTGCGTACATCAGGCCCATACTGGAGTATGCAGCACCTGTTTGGAACCCACACTTGATCAATCACATCAAGAAATTAGAGAAAGTGCAAAGGTTTGTGACAAGGTTAGTTCCAGAGCTAAGGTGAATGTCCTATGAAGAAAGAACATAAAGGTTAAGGGAAATCAGCCTGATAACATTGGAGGACAGGAGGGTTAGGGGAGACATGATAACGACATACAAAATACTACATGGAATAGACAAGGTGGACAGAGACAGGATGTTCCAGAGAGGGGGCACAGAAACAAGGGGTCACAACTGGAAGGTGAAGACCCAGATGAGTCAAAGGGATGCTAGGAAGTATTTCTTCAGTCATAGAGTAGTCAGGAAGTGGAATAGCCTAGCAAGTGAGGTAATGGAGGCAGGAACCATACATAGCTTTAAGATGAGGTATGATAAAGCTCATGGAGCAGGGAGAGAGAGGACCCAGTAGCACTTAGTGAAGAGGTGGAGCCAGGTGAGTACAATTAGGAGAGTACACCTATGTATGTATACACACACACACACCACCAGTTATGATGGTAGTTATGTTCTTGAGCATGGCATCTAATAAAAAACATTTGTCTAAAACAAACTGAAGAACATATAGGAAAAGTAGTTACCTTCCTTGGACCCCCCCAAAAATTATGGTTGCTGGAGTGTTAATGATTCTGAACAGAATAAGGGATGCTGTGGCCCTACTGGACTGAGGTGGATGGCTGAGGCTCTGGCAATAAAAGTCGATGGTTGCACTGAAGTAGTGAAAAATTCTATAATGTCTTAGGTCTCATCAGTGAAAAAGTATGCTAGTTTAGCAGCAAAATGGAACTGCTCACGTACCAGTTGCAATGTTAACTGTTTCTTCAGGTTCTTCTTCATCTTACTCTATTATCTGCCTCCCTTGTATCTGTGCATTGAACTCTGCCAACATATACCCCTGGACTTTTGTCTTCATCTAAGAGCTCACTCACATCATCTTCCTGCATATCTTCAAAGCCATCACCTGGTAATCTTGCCAGTTGAGCTATTTTCTGCACCTGATTCTCAGGTGAGGGAATACCTGTGAAAGTATTCACTACATTAGGCCATAACTTGACCCAGGCTGCATTTCATATTGATTGGGGTACTTCATTCCATGCACCGCCAACATAGCTGATAGCATCTGTAATGTTAAATTTATGCCAAAAGGTTGGTACTGCAACAAGTTTCTGTATAATTTTTTGTCTGATTACACTTGAATAACCTAATAACTCCATGATCCAGTGGTTGTATTAAACATGTATTTAGAGGTAAAAGCACAACTTTTGTACGTTGGTTCATGTCACACAAAGCTTCTGAATAATTACCGGGATTATACACAAATAACCCACATATAAAGAGAGAAGCTTACGACGACGTTTCGGTCCGACTTGGACCATTGACAAAGTCACACTAACCAGAGGAGGAGGAGCAGCAGGACGGCTATATATAGGCAGGAAGAGGTGGTGGTAGTAGTAGTAGTAGTAGTACAAGAGTTGTATATAATACTGACAAGATGAAATTAAGACACATGCACAACACCCGGGCATCCCCATCATAGACGTTTCGCCATCCAGCCAGCCACTGGATGGCGAAACGTCCACAACAAAGACAACCAGACGCCGCACATGTGTCTTAATTTCATCAGTAGTTGTAGTAGTAGTAGAAGAAGAAGAGGTAGTAGTAGTGGTAGTGGTAGAAGTGGGAAATAAAAAGGACGAGCCAGTCAAAAACAAAGGAAGGGGAGCACTGCAAGAGAGCTAGATGCTCACAGAGGGAGAGCAAGTGCACAGAGGTGCGTGAAAGGGAAGTGGTGAAATAAATGAAGAAGGAACAGAAACACGAGACAGGAGAGAGAAAGACAACCCAGAGGAGAAAAGGAAAGAGGAAAGGGGAAGAGGAAGAAGAAGAAAGAGAAAAGAAAAATGAGGAATCAGGTTAAGTCACGGGTGTTCTGAAGATTGGAGCATTTTACAATGTAGTGGGAGAGGAAGGCATCTACAGAGACGAAGCCAGGGCTAAGGTTCATACAAGGAAAGTTGTGTATTAGAGAGGATTCAACTAGACGGCGACTGTTCGAGTTGGAAGTAGGGAAGACAGTTTTAGCAGAAGACCAGTCAATAGGATGGCTATGATCTCTGACGTGACAGAAAAGAGCATTGTTAGTGTCGGCAAGCCTAACACTATTTTGTGCTCCCTAAGTCTGTCAGAAAGAGATCGACCAGTTTCTCCAAAGTATTGAAGAGGACAGGAGGAGCAAGAAATAGAGTAGACACCAGGAACATCTATAGAGGGAGGAGAGGTATGAACGAGATTGGTGCGAAGAGTGTTAGTCTGGCGGAAGGTAAGCTTGATGTCTAAGGGACGGAGAGAATTGTTGAGATTAGAAAGACCGGAAATGTAGGGAAGGCAGAGGATAGAAGAGTTCTCATGAGTAGAGAGTTTGGGAGAGAAGAAATTGCGTTTAGCACGTGAGAGGGCAGAGTCTATGAAATGGGAAGGGTAGCCAAGACGGGAGAACGAATTATGAAGAGTGGAAATTTCTGCTGGAAGGAACTGAGGATCACAGATGCGGACGGCACGGAGAAAGAGGGAGATAAGAACACTTTTCTTGACAGGGGAAGCATGATAGGAAAAGTAGTGAATGTACATGCCATTGTGCATAGGTTTACGGTAAACGGAAAAGGAAAAACCTGTATCTGAGCGGTGGACATGGACATCAAGGAAAGGAATCAAGGAATTAGATTCCCATTCAGCTTTAAACTTAATGGAAGGGGCAAGATTATTAAGAACTTCAAGAAAAGGTTGGAAGAGACTGGAGTCATGAGGCCACAGAGCAAAGATGTCATCCACATAGCGGAGCCAGAGTGAAGGTTGCACATCGAGGGTAGGAAGAACAACAGTCTCGAAGTATTCCATGTAAAGATTAGCAAGGACAAGAGAGAGAGGAGAGCCCATAGAGACACCGAAGGTTTGAGAATAATATTTCCCTTGGAAGGAAAAGGAGTTAGAGTCCACACAGAGGCAGATCAGATCAAGAAAGACATCAGTGGGGATAGGGAGATGAAGAAACCCTTCATGGGCCTTCTCTCTAAGGAAATCAAGGACATCATCAGAGGGACATTGTGAAGAGGGACTCAACGTCAAGACTAAGCATCTTACAGGTTGGGAGAGAGCGAACCCGTTCAATGAAGTCTTGAGAGTGACGGAGGTGGGCAGGAAGAAAAAGTACCAAGAAAGGGAGTGAGGGTTTTGGCCAGCCAAGAAGCAAGAGATAAGAGACAGAACCTTTAGAGGATATGATGGGACGAAGAGGAATATCGGGTTTATGATTTTTTGGGAAGGCCATAAAAGGGAAAAGGGACAGATACACGAAACCATTGAACAAGGTCAAAGTCAGGAAAAGGGGTCGGAGAGGTCCTTTATTTTTTTTTTAAAAGTTCTTTTGTGCATAAAGAGGGTTGGAAACGAGGAGTGTAGGTGCGGAGTCAAGACAAGACATCATTTTACAGGGGAAATCCTCGCGATCAGGAAACTACCGAATTACCTTTGCAAAGATAGTTGACAATTTTATGTTGGATTTAAGAGAAGAAAGGGCAATTTGGTAACGGCTGGAAGGGGGGGATTCTTAGAAAACAACTAACAAGGCAGGAAGGGAGAGCACCACAAAAAGTGACAAGTCGGGAAGTTTACGAAGCGAGATTGACGAAAGGAATCAAAAGACAACAGGAAAAAATACCCCGCGGGGAAAGGGCGAATGGCAAAGGAAAGCCAAAACCAAGAAGTTAAGCCATACTGAGGAGTGAACAGAAGACAGATTAGTAACACGCGAAGGAGAATTTAGACCAAGGCAGCTGAGATGAACGTTGAAGTTTT